ATCGAGCCCGGTCCTGCTATTGAATTTGTCGCCAGGTAATGAACCAGTGAAGCTGTACGCTTTGCCTGGCTATCGAGGCCTGCCGGGAAAATAATCCGAACTGTGTCAGTATTCACTTGTCTCCATTTCACCGAAGGTGGCGTACCTCCAAAACGCTGAGCAGAAAGAGTAACCGATACGACGCAGGCAACTACCAGTAACAAACAACGCATTGACAATTTTTTGTTCAAGTTACAACATCCGGCTATTTTCTATTTAACAGGCCGATCGGAAAACTTACATTTGACTTCATGAAAAAGATTGCCTGCCTGCTGATCATTGCCGGATGCATCGGGTGCCATCCGGATAAGAAATGGAAACTTACCTGGAGTGATGAATTCAACTACCAGGGGCATCCTGACTCTTCAAAATGGACGGCTGAAATGGGCGGACACGGCTGGGGCAACAATGAATCGCAATATTATACCTCCGGACGGCTGGAGAATGCAAGAGTGGAAAATGGAATGCTGATCATCGAGGCCCGGAAAGAAAAATGGCAGGAAAATGATTACACATCGGCACGGCTGATCACAAAAGGAAAGGGTGATTGGCAATATGGAAAAATCGAAGCAAGAGCCCGGCTTCCGAAAGGACGCGGCACTTGGCCGGCGATCTGGATGCTGGCGTCGAAAGATCCGTTGTTATGGCCTGACGACGGCGAGATTGACATTATGGAACATGTCGGTTTCCACCAGGGATATATCCATGGATCTATTCATTGTAAAAAATATAACCATGTAATTGGAACGCAAAAAACAGATACTATCGTCGTACCCGATTGTTCAGAACAGTTTCATATATATTCAGTGGAATGGAATAAAGACTCTGTAAAAGTGGGCGTTGACAATAATACCTATTTCCGTTTTGAGAATGAAAAAAGTGGATATGCCGCGTGGCCGTTTGATAACAAAATGCACCTGCTTCTCAATATCGCTGTCGGAGGTAACTGGGGTGGTCAGCAGGGCATCGATAGCACCATCTGGCCACAAAGGATGGAAATTGACTATGTACGGGTGTACCAGTAATTGTTAAACTTTTGCTGTTGCCTTCCTTTGGTATAAATTTTTCGTCATACCCTTACTAAAATGTGCAACTTGAAGAAATTTTTACTTTCCCTGGTGTTGATACCCGCCGCGCTGATGG